CGGATTCTCAGAACTTCTTGTGTTTGAACTGCAGACATGCCCTTTGAAAAACAGAGAGATTTATTTATAATTGGCTAGATTTGCAAGCTTGCTTTATTACATTATTTCCTGCCCAGAGTTTCTTAATACTGAATAGAAATTATTATGAAAACTTCTTACTTCAGGGCATTTCCAGGCTAGCAGGGCTGAAGCAGAACCTGTCATTGCTGGTCCAGTTTTCTTTCTGGAAAAATCTGCTAAACTGAGCCAGAGTTCAAGTCCGCAAGGGGAACACATACACACATAATATTCATGCACGCACTCAGTTAGTTCCAACTCCTGTTGTGGGACTTTCAGCCTGATGCCTTTAAACTATACATGAGCAATTGCTCTGCTAACTTCGTGACCATCTTTTTTTCTTGTAGTATCCTGTAAAAATTATTTTGTATATTTATCTCAGAGTCAGAAGTATCCTGATTTTTCTGTTTTGATAACTCATTGGCTGTCAGTGGAGTAAAAGTGGGAGTGGGGAGGGAGAATCAAACTCAGCATGAAGTATGGGACTTCAGCCTAAAACGTAATATGGAGTCTTTACCTCTGAGCAGAACTGTGGTGTCTTATGCCAGAAAACAATACAAACTCGGCCAACTAGGGATTAGCTCTTATTATTCCAGATTTTTGTTGCTAACTTTTTTATGCTAAACCTATAAGGAGAATAAAAACCATCTCATTTTAGAGCTGGTAAAGAACTGAACAGGGAGTTGGTTGTCCACTGTGATTTCCTCACTCTTCCATATACTGAGAGACCTCTAGAGCTCTGCATGATCTGCCTTTACTGCTATAATGGCATTTAACCACAATAGCAATGAGCTGCATAGGAACACCTTTAGAAAGATGCAAGAGCTTCACCAAAAGCCTATTGAACTTACAAGTGTATTTTCTTGATTTTAATGGAGTTTGGATTAGATTGTCAGGGAACTGAATGGAGCTGGTTCTGACATTTTGAGCAGTAACAATCTACAGTAACAATCTACAGTTCAAGTCTCCGACCACACTTCAGCAATTTGAAACTCAAAAGATTTCAGTGTGGAAAGTCTGTGCTTCATTACCCTGCTTTAAGAGGAGGAAGCTTAACCTGTAATAGAAGTGAGTATGAAAACTGCTTAGTTCAGAACATTTCCAGGCACAACTTGTTGCACTAATCTATTTTTGTTGCTGGTGGGGGCTTCATTCGCAGCCCTTTATGGATTGAAAAAGATTTAATCTCCCTAAACCCCCAGGATATATTAAGTTCAGGACTAGAATGCATTAGTAAAGGAAGTTTCCATCCCACCGAAACTTTAGAATTTTGACATTGGTTCTCATTTCAAACCAAGACAAGGAGTTGACATTTCAAAGCTTTTCAGAGAATGAAATATTCCCCAGGCCTCTGATTCAAAAATGTCAGTATTTTGTTTCAAACTATGTCCACCAAACCATTACTCTGAGCTGTAGATTAGAGGTACAATATCCCTATTCACTCCTTTGCCTACCAAGCTGACCAAGTAGTATTTTCCATGGTGCTTATTTTCGTGATTACCCCTACTCAGAAGAGTATGCCCACAGGCTAGTGTCTTGGCAGGCTTTTCTAGCTCTTCAGCCTAAGTGAATCTACTTTGCCTGATAGCTGGGTCTCTCCTAGCATGTTGCCTCTTTGGCATCCCTGATTATAGCTATTCCAAAACTTCCCCTCTGTGTTTTGTTCCTATGATGGGTATATGCTGAAAGAAACAATCCGCCTTCCTGTCCTTGCTAACTTTCCACATTTTTCTCGGGGATGGTGACATATTTTTTCCCATACCTTCATCTTTTGCAGTGAGTTCTCTGCAGCTTGATAGAGAGTGAAAATGATGTTATGGAAATTACATATTCTCATCTCAACTCAGACAAACCTTTGTTTCTTCTGCTCATAGAGACAAAAGTTATTATTCTCATGAACTGTGTATGTTTTCAGGAGTGCTTTAATATTTCTTTGTCTGATCCTTTTCTTTCATAGGAGTCCAGCCGATATGTTTTCATGTAAGGGCTACTAAAAAATAAGAGATATGGAGTAGTGTTTTCCATTTTAAAGCATCAGTGACTCAATTGCAAACATGGCCAACCTTTCTACTGAATGTAATTACCTCCAAAGGATGGAAGAAGAATTTCCCTAGGTAGTGAAGGGGGGGGGGAAAAAAAAGTGAACTTGGGAACCTTGATCACTCGTAAGGGTTTTTAATGAAGTTTCATACATAAAATCTTGGCAGAAACTGTGGGGAAAAACAAGAAATCTATTTAATTTCACCAACATTTCTAATAGCATTAAATTATCTGAGAGACTACCAAGTAGAGGAAGATTAAAACACATTTTGTACATACCACGTAAGTTCACAGATGTCCATTTTGCTCACACCTCCATCCAAAATCCAGTATTTCATCAAAATAATTATTTTTATGCTATACACTGTCAATGGCTGTCAATCACAAAAAGAGCAATGAACATCAATATAACTTCCTTCCACACCTGGGATTTTCCTGGCAATTTCCTCCACAATCATAGAATCATAGAAAGGTTTGGGTTGGAAGGGACCTTAAAGATCACTTAGTGCCAACCTCGCTGCCATGTGCCTCCAACCCAGCCTTGAAGTTGTGACCTAGCACCAAATTGCTCAATTTATAAATTGACTTTAATCTGAGTACAGTCCATGGCAACGTATGAGCTGATGATTCATAAAGTTAAAATGGCTTTGAAGTGGTAAAGTCTGGTTTTGAGATTGCTTGCCTCAGAGCTATATTTAAGATCCAGCCCTTTTCACATCCAGGCAGTTCATGTGTTCTTTTCAAAATAGACAAAGGCATGCAGGTTTGGATACCACAGTAGATTGAACTGTTGAGTGAATATAAAATATGTTATGAGCAGGTATGAAAAGTAATTCTGGCTTTTCCTCTGCTGTTTAGGTTCCGCAGCAGGACCCTTCTCACTGTGGGTGCTAGTGAGCTCTAATGCATTTGAATGAAATCAGTCTGATTTGTAGCCATGGTGTCATACAGTTTTCAAATCATGCAAGTGATTTTTTTTCACATTCTTGTCTGTACAGAAACATTCACAAAAGTTAAAGCAGACCACACTCTGTGTGTATCAAAGATGGATCAACTCCTGTAGGGATATTCTTATTCAGAAAAAAAAAAAAATATCTAAATCTTACATGATATCACTGATACAGTTTATATATCTGTACTTGGAAGTTCTGTATGGAGTAGTCGTAGTCAAGATAATCTTACCTTTGTTGCAGCTGTCTAACCTTTACTTGCCATGGTGTTTCTAATGTGATAAAATGTCTCTTGCAGTCTTGGGATGGGAAAACATGACTATGTTTTCAGGGAAATGTATCATTTATGCTTGACTGTTACTCCTTTAGCCTTCATTAATTCCCTTGAAGACATCAAGGGAATGCAGAAGCACAGGAGACTGATCCAGTTCTGACCCAGTAGAAGTGGGTAAAGTCAAAGAAATTTATTGATAGCTTTTATCAAGCCTGAATCGAAACCTATGATTATCTAAATTAAATTAATTATACTAACAATATGATAGATAACCAAGGAAACTGCTGTTGTGCCACTAGTAAAATAAAAAAGTTAGAAATGGGAATTGAATTTCTAAAAGTAAATGCTGGATATTAACCAAAGCCTGCATCTTCACATGCAAGTGAAGAGAAAGTGTCAAACCTGGAATTACATCTCACCCTGTCAGAGATATGCAATTCTGCATACATAGGTTTGTACAGATAAGGAATATTAGTCTCAATGTTTAAGTGGACAAGTTACACATGCCGCTTTTATGAGCCTAGATGATATGTGCCCTGTTTGTTCTTATCAGTTTCTAGGACCCAGCTCTCTGATTTAACAAACTCACAGATGCAGGAAAACTTAAAGCTGAAATAAGCTGTATTTAAAATTCTCTGTGCTTATATATACTCACTGTTTGGCTAAGAGTCTTAGTAAAATCTTTATGTATATATCGTATAAGTATATTAAGTATAATTTATACACAAAAAAATTTTCATTGCTTACTTTGCATGCCAGAATGCTAGAAGGCCTTTCATTTTCTAGTATGGATAAAGATAATTATAACACTGTATGGAGTTGCTTGATTTCTTGGATTTCAGTTATTTATGTGCAGAATTCATAACTTGGATGTAGAATTCAAAGTTCAAACAAAAAGTCTACATTAGCACTGTGCTAAATAAATTTATATTCCATTTGTTTAATTGTAAATGTATTTGATTATAGATTTGTATTTGATTCTCCTGGAAACTATAGTTTTTTTGCAAACTGAGAAGCCTAGTTTATCTATTGAAATTTTTAAATTTTGAACAAAACAATTTGCACATAAACATAAAGCCAGTTTCATAGCAGGTAATTGTTTTTCTGACTCTCAGTTCTTTTGTGTTAACCATTCCCTCCTTCTTTATTAGATTTTTGACAATGTCTGAACACAGACGTTGATAGTGTGGAATGGGATTATTGTCAAACTTAATTAAAACCACATGGTTTTCCCAACTGCATAGCAGGTAAAATCTCACTGAGATCTCAGCCATGTTACTATTAATCTGTACTGCTCCTTACTTTTATCTATCTGTCTGCTTCCAATTTGTCTTCTTATCTATTTCAGGCATTTTCCTTTGTGAAACTCTAAGAAGTGTAATTTCTGATAGGACTCTGACCAAGAAATGTTCACAATGCCCTAAAAAAACAACCTCCAACAATACGCTTTTCTTTCTCTGGACTGCAAAAGCCATTGAGTACTAACCTGCTCACTATCTCACGTCTGAATTCAGTTCGAGCTCCCAGCCAGATTTGCTCAGCCTCTTTCATTGCTAAGGTACTTTATGGCCCTCTAGAGATGCTGAGAGAGAAACTTGGTGGTAATTAGTTGCAGAGGTGGAACGAGCAGTCAGTCAGTAGGTGCTCACATTGAACTGCACATCTTTCTTTCTTGCCAGATCGTTGGCTGTGACCGCCAGCTGGGAAGCACTGTCAAAGAAGATAACTGTGGGGTCTGCAATGGCGATGGGTCCACCTGCCGGCTGGTGCGAGGCCAGTATAAGTCCCAGCTCTCAGCCAATAAACGTAAGCTGTCCTTTCTGGTGAAGTGCCATCTTCCCCTTTTAGTGAAATATGTGTTTCTTGCAAACTAGATTTCACCCCGCTCTTTCTCAGGCAGTCAAATGATCATAGTCAGTCTGGTTGTCCCCACAGATTCTTCACTCTTGGGTTACACCAGGCTTGCTCTGACTACAGCTCTGGCTGTGAGGATGGACAGAGGATTGTGGAAAGGTGTCACCAGTATGTTCCCCATCTCAGCTAGCTAGTTGCTCGGGAGTAGCAAGAGAAGGAGAAGAGCTGGCTCTACCCACACTCCTCTGGCTGTATTAGCTGACTAGGTGTAGGACTCAGTCCACGCTGCTCTGAACAGAGCAGTTTGTGCTGCTCCACTTCAGAGACGAATCCTGGGAGCATGGTAACACCACCCTGGCACAGTGCTCCTTCCTAGCCCTACACCCGCAGCATGTCTGCCTGCATGCTGAGAATGGTGCCTCAGTTCTAGAGTGGACTGAGGTGCCTATATTATCAGGAGGTACCTGTGTGCATGGGTACGGAAATGTGGGCTTAGGAAGGGAGGAAGGAAGGAAAGAAGGATGGAAGGAAAGAAGGAAGAAAGGAAAGAAGGAAGGAGGGAAGGAGTTCCATTGCTGAGGCAGAACTGCACATTAGAGGGCAAAGGAAAGAATTCACCGAGGTTTAGGAGTGGAATTTCACCTCACTGTTACTGCTTCTGCAATGTGCGTGAACAGGTTTAGAAATCTCCAGGCTCCTTGAGACATGATAGTATTTGTGAACTTTTTCTGGCAAACGTCTTTTCCTGCACGAATAGTTTGTTGTTTTTCAGTTGCTGTGTGGTAATAAGGTGCTCCTCGTTTTTCTACTGAGGATAAAGGCCCTAACACATACACTGTACTAAAATGTGAATAGAGTCCCTACTCCCAGTGGTTTGCTATTAAATAGAAGGAATGCTATATAGGTAGAAGAGCAGATGGTAGAGTGCATAGTCTTAGAGTGAGACAAATGTGAAAAAAATGTTAAGGAATGGATTGTTCAGACACTGCATACAATAATTGTTTCAAACAACTGAAGTAGATAATCGGATTTTGTATGCACTCTGTATAAACCGTGTGGCATTATTTTCTCCCCTGCTGTAGACATAGATGTTGTTATGCAACACAGTGTCAATTTTGGATATATCAAAACTAGGTGCTCCTTTAAATTGTTTGGGTGTTGTTTTTTTGGTTTTTTTTGTTTGTTTTTTTTTTTTTTGCAATGGTAAAGGCACACTTATGGATGTCCTCCACATGTGTGAATTAATAAATATTTTTTGAGGTTTGCTTACAAAAGGCTTATGTACATGCTGTGAAAATTAGACATTTTAAATGCTGAAAAGCTTTTAAAAATCTGCTTTTGTGTTTATTTTCTGCATTTATCCTCTTCAGTGCTGTTTAAATACCTGTCACTTTGCCACATTGTCTGTGTCAGCATAGAATGAATCATGGAATCATAGAATGGTTTGGGTTGGAAAGGACCTTAAAGATCATGAAGTTCCAACCCCCCTGCCATGGGCAGGGACACCCTCCACTAGACCAGGCTGCTCAAAGCCTCATCCAGCCTGGCCTGAAATAAGCATCTTGCTTATTTTTCACTGTAAACATACCTACATAAGCATATCTGTGATCAGGTTTATTTGCTGCAATGTATGGGTTATGTTTGGCTAGTCAATAGCTAAATTCCAAGTTATCTCTAGAAAATAATCCCTGTTTCTCAAGACTTTGGTCTATTTTGTCCGTGGCATGAACAAGGCATTAAAAGCCTGTGTGAGCCAGACTGTCACACAATGTAAGAAAAATCAGAAGTGGCATATGCAGTAGTGACCAGATATCAGCAGAGGTGTTCTGTGGGCTCACTTGGGATTTTTATTTGCCTAAACAGAGCACAGCATTCAATTTTGAGAACTGTGCTAGGGGAAGTGGACAGTGACATTTCTGCCAGCTCTGTCCCAATAGTTTCTGAAGTTGTTTATACCTCAAAACCACTCCAGAGTCTTGAGTTCATCATACTGAATTAATTTTGTCTTGGAGCTCATATCCATTTCCTTTCTCTGGGCTGTTTATATCATGCAAAGGCATAGGAAAGGATAATCCTAGAAAGAAATTCATAGAGCTTTTAAACATTTAGCACTTGCTATGGAAACAGCTTCCTCAGTATTTATAGGTGTAGTATACATCTCCCAGTGGCCTCAGAAACAGCAGAAGCATAGCAGGGGCAGGACGCAATGTGACATTGAATTCTCTCCTACATTTTTATGAAAAAGGAAGCACCTGTGTCTATGCTCTTGTTTCTATTAAAAAAAAAAAAAAGCTACAAAAGTCGGTGGTTCAATCCTTCTAAGTCTGCAAAAAGTTAATCTTTTCTATATATAATATCTCTTTTTGGAAAGAGGATATGTATCTTCCTAAGGAGATGAGCTGTATTTAGGCAGGCTTATTTGTATTCACCAAGGAGCTAAAGGCTTGATCATCTAAGTGGTGGGTGACTTCTGATCACCTTGTGCAAAGTTAGTATTTCTCTAAAAAAAAAAAAAGGATTGGCATCTACTAGTGAATTAGATTACTTGTAAAAGAGAATTGTAGCAAATGCTCTGCTAAGGCAGAATAGATATTTATCTGATTACTCTTGTCATGGTTGTCAAAAATAGACGCAGTTCCAAATTTCCATTGGACATCAGTAGTAATGGGGAAATAGAAACAACTCAATTTTTCATCATGAGAACTGACAGTTAGACCATTTGGACAAAATCCAAATTCAAAGTCCAAAATCAGAAGAAACTGATCTCTCATGGGAATCTGATGTACGTACCTGACATATAACCTTTGCCTAAATCCTTGCACTTTCTTGACAGCCCTGGGCCACTGTCCTCTCAGTTATGTGGGAATCTCACTTGCCTCCCCATGCTTCTTCTCTGGAGGAAGCCAACCACCCATTAACACACTTTGCGCCTGTTCTTCAGAGTGCTCTACATGGCTGCTCCACAATCGGCCTCTCTGCTTTTTGTTGGAGGGAGCTGTGACAAAATATTACCATGCTTACTTTTACATGTTTTTTCACATGAAAGGTCTCCTTATCATTTTATGTTAACCTCAGGAAATTATCCTTCAGTCCTACTGCTGCTGCTTTGTGAAAGCAGGAAGCACTGTGATAAGCATAAATTCCACTGAGCTTTGCATTTCACGTGAAGTGTGCTAGGATTTCAAATGGAGAGCAGTGACAAGATCAGTGAAATATAATCCCCAGATACCCTGGGGCAAAAGAGACATGCTAAGAATATATGATGTATTTCATATATCATATACATATGCATGATCTTTAAGCTGTCCTGTTTTGGTGACATATCAGTGAGTTGTTAACTCTCCAGCACGAAGCTTGTAACTGAGAGATAGTCAAATATAATAACGACATGAGACTGTCTTTAAATAAGACTTGTAAAAAGACCATTAATATATTTTGGAAAATTGAAGTTATTGTTTTCCGAGACTCATTCCAATAAATATGTTACATATATATACAGCAAAATGATAAGTCATACTCATGGATTTTGTTCCCCAAAATGGATAAAATATATTTATCCTACTGAGTATCTTTAATACGAGTGCCAGAATGGTACCAATAAAATCAGTATTAGAATATGCATCAAGAGGAGCATGGCCAGCAGGTCAAGGAAGGTGATTCTGCTCTCATGAGGACCCACCTGGAGTACTGCGTCCGGGTCTGGGCCCCCCAGTGCAAGAAGGATGTTGAGTCCTGTGAGGGTGGTGAGGCACTGGAACAGGTTGCCCAGCGAAGCTGTGGATGCCCCATCCCTGGAGGTGTTCAAGGCCAAGGTGGATGAGGCTTTGAGCAACCTGGTCTAGTGGAAGGTGTCCCTGCCCATGGTAGCGGGGTTAGAACTCAATGATCTCTAGGGTCCTTTCCAACCCAAACCGTCCTATGATTCTATGATTCTAGAATAACAGTATTTAATGAATTCTATAAGACTTGAATATTTGTCTTTGCAAATAGAAAACTTGAATTCTGTGTAGAAATGCAAGATGTCTGGCTTTGCTAATTAATGTGATGTAAGAGATGTGTGTGAACAGAGTGAGTGTTAAATAGAGTTTAACCCCAGTTTTACAGAAGTCTTAGGAGACACTGATATTTCTGGATAGGTTGAGGAAATATATCAAATCAGATTTTGAGAATGGAGACAAGGTTCAGAAGAGCCTGCGCACATGAACAGGCTTTATCTCCACACAACACTCAGAGATTTATCAGACTGCCTCAATTTGCCACCTGACTTCTGGGATATTAAGAGGCCACAGAAGTATGGATATTTCATCCCATAAAGCTCTCCAGTGTAAAAATTCCTATGACGGATGACTGATTTTAAAATTTAAAAGGGTCCTTTTATTGAGTTAGTGTGGTGGGGTTTTGTAGCAGGGGTGGGGGTGGGGCTACAGGGGTGGCTCCTGTGAGAAGCTGCCGGAAGCCCCAGGCCGGACCCGCCTCTGGCCAAAGTTAAGCCCATCAGTGACAGTGGGAGCACCTCTGGGATAACATAGTTAAGAGGGGGGAAAAAGAAGACTACTGGGAGCCGGCAGCAGCGGGAGGAGTGGGATGTGAGAGAGACAACTCTGCAGACACCAAGGCCAGTGAAGAAGGAGGGTAAAGAGGTGCCAGAGCAGCGATTCCTCTGCAGCCTGTGGTGAGGCGGCAGCTGTGCCCCTGCAGCCGTGGGGGGTAACAAGTGGAGCAGGTCTGCTCCTGCAGCCCAGAGAGGACCACATGCCAGAGCAGGTGGATGCCCAAAGGAGGCTGTGACCCTGTGGGAAACCCACGCTGGATCAGTCTGTTCCTGAAGGACTGCACTGCACAGAAGAGAACCACGCTGGAACAGTTCATGAGCAACTGCAGCCCATGGGAAGGACTTAAAACAGAGAAGTTCGTGGAGCACTGTCTCCCATGGGAGGGACCCCAGGCTGGAGCGGGGGAAGAGTGTGAGGAGTCCTCCCATGGAGGAGGAAGGAGCACCAGAGATAACGTGTGATGAACTGCCTGAAACTCCCATTCCCTGTCCCCCTGTGCTGCTGGAGGGGAGGTGGTAGAGAAATCAGGAGTAAAGTTCAGCCTGGGAAGAAGAAAGGGATGGGGGGAAGGTGGTTTTAAGATCTGGTTTTGTTTCTCGTTACCCTACTCTGATTTGATTGGTAACAAGTTTGACTTTTTACCCAAGTTGAGTCTGTTTTGCCTGTGACCGTAATTGGTGAATGATCTCTCCCTTTCTTTGTCTCAGGCCATGAGCCTTTCGTGGCTCATGTGGGATGGGAGTGAGCGAGCAGCTGCGTGGTGCTTAGTAGTTCCTGGCTGGGCTTAAACCACAACAGTTCTAGTTCACATTATTCAGATGTTATAGTTTTGGGTGAATGAATGTGTAGTTTAAAAAAAAAGGTCCCTGCTTCTTGCAGTTTTCCCTCTTTCACTTTCTGCATAAAATGACAACATTAATAACTATTTTGCTGATAACTGAGAATCCTAATTTAGCTAGGCTAGAACAGTTTTCCCATTTTCGTCTGATCAGAAACTTAAGGTCCCAGCTTATGTGTTTGGATGAAAGGTAATCTGCTTTTAGTGTGTGAGTTAGACTTACGTGACAATGTGACACATTGCTTTGAGAGCAGAGCTATAGTTCTTGCTAGTGGGCATTACATGACTTAGATGTGAGCAGTTCTAATGAACAGATAGTGAAAGGCATTCTCAAAAAAATGCTTCTAGACATGCATACTTTTACTTCCCTGACTTCTAGTTATAGGAGAAGGAGGCAGAAAGGACAGAGAAAGGTGAGTGAAGAACCTAGGCATGCTGGTTAGTCCAGGTCTGCGTTCTCTGGGCACCCACTCCATGACCCAGGTATACAGTTGGGAGCATTTCCTAGCATATGTCAATACCTTTCCTTCCTGGCTCCCTTCAGGACATTATTGAGGCTGCTGCCTCTTTAGAAATACTGACCTAAAGAACTTTCACAGCATCATGTGATCTACATGCTAATTCACACCTCAGCTTAGATCCAGTTGGCAAAGCTCCTGAGGGCTTTGTAGGTGCGAGATTCTGCTCTAAGACCTGTTTACATGACAGTTTAATGTGCTTCTGTTTTCCCAGGGGCTTGCTCTTAGTGGTATGGAAGGGGAAGCAGAATTATAGCACTTCTCGTCATTAAAATAAAAGGTGTGAAAGGGAAGGAATGCCTGAGGGCAGTGGGGGATCATCATATAGCATGGGCAGGGTTATGGAGAAGCTGTAGGGTTCAACTGG